CACTGTCCTGCAGTTGGACGTATAATGGTAATTTTCAGGTTAGTTTTCTCTGTCCAATTTCGGTGGCAATTTTTATTACTTGAATAATCTTGCATTGAGAGGAGACTTGTGCTCAGCATTGGGGCGTATAAAAGGGTTGATGATGATGATATCCATGAAGTATTATTTAATATTCGAGTGTAGTATCAAAATAATGTAATGTTAAATAATATTTCAGGATAATGTACTGGAATATTTAAGTATATAAAAAATTGCCACCAATATTAGGTAGAGAAATCTATACCTGATACCCGTAATGGGTAAATTTACCCTTATGGGTAAATTTCATTAGTGTTTATTCTCCTCCCTATATTGCTGCGGAATTGGAATCTTGTAAAAAGGACACCTGATTTGTTTGCTAGAGATCCCAGTTTACTTTTGCTTTGTAAAAGCTTAGGTTACTTTTGTACAATGAAAGGTTGCTAGTATTGATTTTTTTACTTACTCACGTTATCTGGCATCTTATTTAGCCTCCTTCAATTTAGAATTTGCCGTAGGCCTTCCTATTTTTACGTCACTGTGTTCTATTCTGGGCAATTAGCAACAGTTCGTGCCTGCGGTTTGCGCTCGTCCTTTCACCTCGTATCTTATATAGAAATACATATACGTAGTCCTTGAACATTCCCCAACTTCTTTAGCCTACTTCGACGAAGTTTTATGTAGGTCTACGTCATTGTACTATATCGGATTGTATTCTGGGCTCTAGTACAATCACTTGAATTTTTTTTAGAACTGTACGTAGACAACATGAGCTAACATTTCCCTCGCTAAAGAAGGACGGCGAAAGCTGCCCCAAAAACGACGAAGAGCCGTTCATGGACTTTGCTAGTATAATTTTGCGTTTTAATTTATGCCTCGTTATCAATACATTTTTGTATATTTTTAGAAGTCGGGATTAAAAAAATTGTAAAACATTGTATTTTAGAATAGATGCAAGAACACAACGCAATTGATTCAGTTTGACCATAGATTAGGTAACGTTCTTGTACCTACATTTCATTTTATCCATGTTTGAATGTTTACCTACCTGAAGTATTGGTTATTTTATAGTACACACATAAAACATTAAAGCTATGAAATACCAAATGAAATAATCAATTAAACAGTAATGACAAAGCAAAGAAAAAATATATTGACAACATTTGAATGAGAGATAACGAAAGTTGCAAAGGAACGTTCTGACAACAGACCTCTTGCCAGTGTCAATGTCACATTGATATTGAGAACAGTGTGCCAACTTGTGGCAGATTTCTGTCATTTGGGCAGATTTAATTTTTATTCATTTTCATTGCTGCAGAACATGATAAGTTATATTAAATGTGGCAGAGTTTGGCAGATTTGGGAATAACGGGAAGTTCTTTATTATTTTTGAGAACAAACTGAAATCTTGTTGTTTTCTGCTACTACAAACATACATCTGAAGCGAAATACAGGATAATGTTATGTTATAAACATAACCTATATCAACTTTATAACTCTAGCTCCTACAGGCTGTGCTCAATTAGCTTTTTTGATGCTTTGATAATGAATCACAAGTATTGATAGGTCTCTTTAATGCACGTTGTCAAAAACACTAGGTCACAAAATGCACGGTATGTCGCCATCCTTCTTTACTGTTTCTAAAAAAAAAGACCTGTATTAATGGTCAATAGTAACATATAGTAGGATCTCATATTTTATGACACTTCAGAAGCATGAATAATAATAATAATAATATAATAACAAGTTATTAGAAAAGACTTTTTCATCTTTCTGACCAAGTTTCAAGTACCAAGACTTGGTGTAACGTGTTGGTGTCCGCCTTCTCTAATAATTAAATGTTTCGCCACCTTGATATTCAATTATTTTTTGTGAAATTACTCCACTAGTTTGAATTATTAATACAAAGATTGAACCCTCAAAAAAAATCCTTTGATCCGGTTAGATTCGAACCAGTCTTCTAGCAAACCGTGGCAGACGCTACCCAACTAAACCACGGGACGAATCAACGAACCATCTTCTCTAATAAATAGAGATCCATTCGCATACAAAAGTTCTATTACGCAATAGAAGAATTATTAAATGATAATGTAATATTTTTGTTTTTACATTTTTAGCTACACTCTAAACTATGTACCCTGTTTATGACGTATATTTCATTATGTACTTTACGTGTTGGCTAATAAATAAATACTGAACCTTACCAACTTCTTCAACCACCTGTAACCAATAATTTTATGTAGGCTTGCGTCATTTATACATAATCGTATTAAATTCTGGGCAATTCACAAGTTCGTGCCTGCTGTTTGTACTCGTCTTTTCACCTTGTATCTCTTGTACATACACGGAAACCTGTAATTGGATGTATGTTTTTATCTCGTGTTTTTTCTTTTTGTTATGAAGTTGTTGAAGAAATATATTTGTTATATATGCCGAGACTAACCTTCTTATTGCCGAAGTGAACGCATCCGACCGCGGGGTGCTATGCCGTTATGATGCAGAGCTGTTTCTCTGTAATTCGCGTGGCAAAAGCACTTTACAATCTTTATCTGATGACGATTAATTTGTTACGTTTCATGAACTGACATAAATCTATTCAAATTTCGCTAACAGTTGCTCAAAGGCGCATTTGAATTGTGCAAGTAGTTTACTAGTTGCATGTGCGGAAAAACTAAATTTGACATGCAAGTAATTAATATTATACAAATATAAATGGTTTTTTATATTTTTGCATTGGGTATTACTTTCACGAGTTATAATTAAAATGCGGCATTGCATGATGGTCACCTAGCGACGTAGGTTAATGACATTAGGCGCTCCGCGGAACTGGACGAAGGCTGCTCGAGATTGAAGGTCCGAGGAGACTGATCACACAAGGGCTGAGACGGATTGATGGCTGAATTCGTACCTTCAATAATAAAATGTCATAATTTGAAAAGTTTTTGGAAAACTGACAAGAAATAAAAAAGTTATTCATATTAAATACAATTTTGTCTTTTTTTTTATAATAACTTAGTGGCGCGATGAACAAGTCGTGCGCCTGATGATAAGCGACACATTTGTCCATAACAGTTGCAGTGGCACTCAGCTATAAATCGCAAAGATCTAAGGGACACTGCCACTGCGCCCGACACCCTGAGACATTGACAAGTCCCATGTGCCTGTAATTTCACCAGCATCCATACCCTTCAAACCCGGAACGCAGTAATGCTCACACTATTGCTTGGCGGGAGAAATAGGTAAGGTGACAATAATTCCCTAGACGAACTCTTTCACAAGGAGTTCTACGGCATATGTCATATTCGGCACCAGCTAAATGGCGCATTATTAAAAAAAATCTGTTTTGTCTGTTTTCCAAAAATTACTTTTCAAATGTCACTTTATGGTCGATGGTGTGATACAATATTTCAGGATCACATCCCTAGCGATTTAAAAAATTTATAAATAGAGATTTCTTTGCACCATTAAGGTTTTATAACACCTGAAACATCTCGCTGCTCCATTTTATAGCTGTTGGCAATGGTAGACAATCGAGATCTTTAGATTACGACATGTTACAAATTATTACAATGAACGATAAACACAATGCCGATAGTGACGTCACAACACATTGGTCGTGCGAAATCAGTGACAAAATTTCCCCGCGATAGCTCTTATCTGTTTTTAATGTAGGTAAAACTTCTTTCTTACCAACTTAGCCATAAATATGAATTAATACGCAGTTGCCGGGTCTTTTACTTGCGCCTGGAATAGTCCCGGGAATATCAATTGAGAGGGACTTCGCCTGCATTACAATGAGCTGATTTCTTACAAGCGACTTGATACTTGTAGATTGGTAACCCATTTTCGCTGTAGATACTTCTCCTAAGAACTGTTACACTCAGCTACTTTTAGTAGCGCGTCTGATCCTGTCAAATAAGCAATACTGGATCAAATCTAACGACTATTTTAAGTATGAAGCTTCATTCGCATCATGATCTTAAATTTTGGTCGAGTGTTACTTTATTGTTTCGGCCGGAGAGAAGACCACGGGGTCTGGTCGCGATGCAGTGTCGTTACAGTCACTGATCTTATCCTATCGAAGGCATACGCGTGCGTGCGCGCGTGCGTGGCTTTGTGACCGATTTTGATGATTATTTTTTTGTTCGAAAGAGGGTACCGCGGTATTGTCTTTTAAATTTCAAGAAAATAGGGGATGCATCCGGTTTCAATAAAACTTGGCAAATAGATATGTAATTCTACGAACTTTTAGTAGCACTAGAGCTCCTTGTGAAAGAAATTGTCCTGAGATTACTACCACCTTACCTACTTCAGCCACCAAGCAGTAATGTGAGTGTTACTGTGTTCCAGGTTTGAAGGGTAACTGTGCTTGTGAAATTACAGGCACATGGAACTTGTCAACTTATGTCTCAAGGTGACGGGCTCGTAATATCCCTCAATTTTTTGCGATTTAAAGCTCTGAGTGGCACTGTAACTGTTATGGACAGGCATGTCGCTTACCAACCAGGTGCACGACAAGTCCGTCACTTAGTATTATAAAAAAAAAATTTGAGTTCGGTTTTCTTTTTTATAAAAAAAAACTGATGTCTGCGTAGATTCAAACGTGCGCAAGCATCGATTCAACAACGGTTTAATAACTCAACATGAACACAAATGGCCGTGTATAACCGCTGTAATGCCCAAAGACGCGCTATGTCAGACTTTGCGTTAAAAAATGTCTATAAGGCATTTATACTTCTAATTCGTGTGTCACCACACTTATTTACGCGGCATCGGCTTAAGCCAGTCCGAAAAGCTTTACGTCCATGCTATAAGAGTGAAAAAGACGTACCTTTCGCGCCGGGGCGGTCCGAGCGGAAGCGATTCCGTGCCGATAAATATATGGCGACTCATTTGCAAGAAGTAATTATAGTCTATTACATCTTCATTTATCTCTGTAAGACAAGGAGCTGTCTATAATTATTGCTTTGTTGTGGTTTCAGGGAAAAATCTCTACAACAATGAACATGTAGCGATCAAGATGGAGCCTATGAAGTCGAAGGCTCCCCAGCTGCACTTAGAGTACCGATTTTACAAGTTATTAGGCACTCATGGTAAGTATCCCTAGTCGGTTACATGATACAGTTACAAGGTGCAACGTGCAACGTTTATAACGTGTACGATTGAAGGCGTTGCATTTCCATGACTAATTTATTATTGTTGATATGTTATATACGCAGAGATTGTAATATGTTTAGGTTCATGAAAGTAATACACATAGAGTGGATAATACCTCCGTCAGAAATCCCAGAATGATTATATTGTATTTCGTTCTGTATTTCTTATATGTAACTAATAATTACAACAGTAGAGTAATTAGAAGATATATATATATATATATATATATATATA